TGGTCACAGGCTTTACGTGGGCTCACAACACTAACAGCAGCCTGAGTGTGGATGAGTACTATGATGAAGATGGGACACCGCTTACACAAGACAGGAGTGCCCGTGTCTGGTAAGAAAACATGGCAGGACCCAAGCGAGAATTTGAGACAATACCTGGATCGAGGAAGTGATACAGGGGAGAAAAGAAAGAGGTAAGCAGCTGCAGGGAGGTGGATAGGAGACAGCTCAGCTGAGATCCTGTCTACATGGCCTGTTCTTGAGAAGTCACCACAACCCAAACTGAAGACTGCCCTATTACTAGGGCCCACAAGGGATGAATGACAGCCCAGTCCAGCTGGAGAAACTCCACTTGTGTCAAAAACCATGGTCTCTGCTCTCCTCAACAAACACTGAGCTCTTTCAAAGGAGCATTAATTGGCTGTGGTTTGGCTAAAACTTCACTGTACCTCAGGGCTCAGTCCCTTGGTACAAGCACGTGATGTTGTCTCTTGCAGGACCTTCCATGTTTGGAACGAATGCTGGATGGCTCGAGCAGACTTGCTACCAGAGTACAGTGGGTGGCAGGCACTGGATGCCACATGCCAGGAAAAAAGCAAAGGTAAGATATCAAAGATGGGCTTGAGAAGGCGTGGGGGGAAGTGGAGCAGGGAGCAAATAAAGCAGCTCAATATTCCTCCCTTCCCTAACTTCCAATGGAAGGACGCAAAAGGACAGGGACTCACTCTGTTGACTTTAAGCACTAAATCATCATTTATCTGTCTGGTTTGTGCAACTTGTGTAGCTCTAAGAGCTCTACCACAATACTGCTCCCTAATGTCCTCCTAAACTAGATACTTCACCACTCCCAGTATAGGTCTAAACTAGGCATGGGTCTAGTTTGTAAAGCATCTGAATCTTAACTGGGCCACATTTTCTCTTCAGGTCCATCCTTCTGTGGGCCAGCCCCTGTTCAAGCCATCAAGGAAGGGGACACAGAAGTTGATTATGATGTCTGCTATTTCTTTGCTGCCCTCAATGCCAAATGCCAGGTCTGGATACAAACAGCAGATGATACCCTCAAGCCAGCTCTTGGTGGCACAAAGTACACTGGCAACAACATCAGCACCAAGAGTGTGGGCAGTGAACGCTGTGAGGATATCACACACAACTACAAGTATCCTGAAGGTACGGGGTAGGCAAGTGCCTGACCACATTCCCTGCCAGTGTACAAGTGAAGAGTAAAGGACTAGAGAGCAGAGCCATAGCAGAGCATTAGGGTCGCCCACTTCTCATTACTTCCCCTTCCTGAATGGCACAAGAACATCTTACTCTTGCTGTGTACAGAATCAAAGCACACGTCATACCCCAAATTTCATCCTGCTTAATTACATTAACCGGCTCTCTAGAAGGCCAAGCCTTTCTTCACCAGGCACTTCCCTGTCTGTATGGAAAACTTTCTTTCCTGATTTCTGTTACCTGTACACTCTGTACATTCATCTCCCATTACCCCTGTAATATGTATCTATGTATTTCAGACTCCAGCTTTCTGAAAAGGACTGTTGTGCTCCCGGATATTGTCTAAATCCCTCCCTCAAAAAGTAGCTCCCCATTCAGAATCTATTACTGACTGCTGTTTCCCTGACCCAACCCTACCATCTCATCTTAGCCTATGGCACGTTGTCTCTCCTTGGCTGCAGTCCATCACAAGAGAACCGTACCCTAGCTACAGCTATAGTTAAAAGAGGCAACTGCCTCTTTTACTCTTACAGATGTTAGCACCAAAGTGCTTGAAAAACTATGACAAATCTTTCCAAATAGAATCTTTCAGGTACATCCAATGAATGTCCTGTCAGCTGAAATTCTCAAACTGCTCCAACCAGAAGCACAACAGGGTATCTCTCTATGCTCTTAGAAACAGTTATCTACAGTACTGCCAGGATAATTCAACACCATCCTTCTGCATTTACTGCTTCACGCTAGTAAACGGGAAAGAAATCTAAGACGTGCTCTCTTTTTTGTGACAGGTTCTCTTCAGGAAAAAGAAGTACTTGATAAAGTCTGCAAAAAGATAAAGAAACTTGAGACAACCAGCAGCAGTGAAACACAGTTTAGCTCCATTCCTACTGCCCTTGAAGAGCCAGTTAACCTTTTCATCCACCTCCAGTCGAAGAGTTCTCTGCTACTAGGAGAAGATGTTCCGCTTTCCATTGAAGTGTTTAACCACAGTGGTGGAAAAAAGGCTACTCACCTGGTAGTTGGGGCCCAGTCTCTACATTATAATGGTGTGCCCATTACCCAACTTTGGAAGGAAGAGTTTCATTTTATCCTCAAAAGCAATGAAGGTAAGGACTCTACTAGGTGCATGGCTAGAAAAGTATATCTAGTCCTCTCACTTCAGGAAAAATGCACTTAGCCATAAGTTTACAAAAGGCTGGCTGAACAGTTGATTGTAGGTGATTGAAATAAAACACCGGCAACATCACCTTAGAGATTTTTGAATCTGTAAATCCAGTTGGGATCACTTCAGCTTGTAAATGTTGCAGCTTTTAGTATAACGGTGGGCACTAAACACTCCTAGGTGCCATGCAGGCTACGATCAGACTGCATTTATCATCTGCATTGTCATCTGTATTTCACCACTCTATTCCAGCTAACAACCTGCAGGTCTTTGTGCCTTACTCACGGTACAGAAGAGAGTTGGGAGAGAACCATCTGCTTAGGCTGACTGCCATGCTGACAGATGAGGACTCCTACATATACTTTGCACAGGAAGACATCAGCATTTGTGATCCCCCTCTCACTATTGAGGTTAGATCAGTCTATTATTCTGTTACTGCAGTAGTGAGAAAACAGCTTTCATAGTCATAAGCTGCAAAAAAATTCTGCTGGGTTGAGTGGCTCTCCTCATGCTGTCTTCTTTCAAAGCACTGATACATCAGTTTGGGAAAGGTGAGTTGTGCCACACTGTTGTATACAGTACTCCCACTTCTATCTTGTCTATGTGTGAGCATAAGGAAATCCCAATGACTCCTAACCCACTCACCAGTCTGGAAATCAGAGGCTGCAGAAGGAAACTACAGCAGAAGACTGTAGTTGAGAAGAAAGTAAGCCGGACTTTGCCTCTTCTGGCAACTGGCAGCTCAGGCTGAGACCTCTGGCACCAAAAAATCATTTATCTCCCTGTAATCATAGAAGAATCTCTTTCCTTCTCTCAGTTTCAGCTCATTTCCTTCTTTCAACAGTTTCCAGAAAATATGGTACAATATCAGCCAAGCACAGCAAAGATCAGCCTCCTGAACCCTCTCACTGAACCCTTGGAGAAGTGTGTGATAGTGGTTGCAGGGCGAGGGCTCATTTACAGACAAAGGAAGTACAGGTAAGTGGAAACTGATTGATCTAAGAATGGTAAGTGGAAAAAGAGAAACAATACAAGCTAGAGAAACAGAAAGGCTGTCCCCAAAAATAAGTGGACAACAATGTGGCAGGAAGAGACTGCTACAGCATGAAAGCCCCAGGCATCCCGTCCTTTACAGATAATACAGAAGATTTTCACACTGAAAAGGAGAAAAGCCAGATAACAGAACTTTCAACAGATGTGTAATACATAAGTTGAAGTCAGTATGACATTTGTTAAAGCTTCAACCCCAAAGGCCTAGACAGCAGAAGGAAAGCCCCTTGCCAACAAAAAGGGTAACAACAGAAGTACCGCAAGACTTAGGCAGAAATAAACATTAAATAAGACAACAGTTATAGGTCACTTAAATGAGCTATGAAATTTAGAAATTATTTGCTGTTGAGAAATCAATTGCTTTTTAGCTAGCCACTTGAACATCCATAAGCAGGGTAAAACTATACTGTTTGTGACATATCTTTCCACCCATTACCCACTGCCAGCAATAAAGACAGTCCCTGGGTACAATTTTAACAGTGTCTTCCCCTTCTCTACTGAAGAACCAGGCAAACCTGACTTAGCCAAGAGTCATCCAAAAAGGCATGCTATCCTTCACATGAAAAAAACCCCACACTTCTCTCAAGAAGCTGCATTAGGACAAAGTAACCTTAGGTGCCTCCATGGGGAGTTCAACCCTCCTGTCATATCTCCCTCCCAAACTACTGTCAGATCGCAATTCCATTGTGGTAGTTTATGTAACTGCTAGCATCCTTCTATTTCTATTTGGTTTTTCTTACCTTTTTTTTGGCACCACAGTCTGTCTAGCAAATGGATCTTGTGGGCCCTGGGAACTAGAAATACAAAGAGGTGCGCTTCCTATATAATCTCTTCTTGCCTTTCAGGTTGGGCTCTGTTCAACCTAAAAGCATTCAACAGCTGCAAATCCCATTCACCCCGACCCAAGCAGGGCCCAGAAGACTCACTGCTCATCTTACCTGCCTTCAACTCCAGAACCTCAAGAGCTACAAAACTATCAACATTGCAGCTGCCTGATGCTCTAGAACGGGTCCTGCTGTCCTATTGACAAAAAAGTGGTCATGATCTGTGCCCTGATCTTAGGCAAGCATAGATGTTAACAGTTTAATTAAAGTTATATTTAAAACATGTCCGACTTTGATTATTTGTACAAACTCAAGTCTCTCCCATCTGCCACTATGCCCACTCTCCAGTTCTATAAGTTGAACCTTACTCTGACAAAGATGGGCTAAAGGCTCAAGCAGATGCTGCATTCTTCACCATGCATATGTGCTCAACCCACCACTGCTTAGTCATTTTTCCCTACCCGTGGCAAAAAAGGATATCCTAGAACTTTAAAGTGATGACAGATGTAGCATTTCTCTACAGATATCCCCCTACAGATCCCTGATGTTGGTAAAGTAGTAAATAATATTTTCTACTGCTTTCTGAAAAAATAGAAAAGAGAAAGATAGTTCGCTCTTCTCTAAGGTTAGACAGGTAACAGCAGCAGTGCTGCGTATTTTTAATGGTTCATCGGGCTGCTTGCAAAAGAAGCAAGACCCTTTCCTTCTGTATATATCCTCTGCTACCCGAAAAGAGATAAAGCCACTCATACAAATCTAGCAGTATTTTATTGTTCTTTGAACCCCATAGTAGTTGTAATGTCTGAAGAATGGGGCACATTCACAGCATTAAGATGCAGCACTGCACCATTCCAGGAATCCAAGCAAAATGACACTTTCTGCAATGGCAAAGAGCAACTTCCTGGGAAAGTTTTACCAAGTGGCAGTAAAGTTCTCTCCTAAAAAACATTGTTTTCATCATTCTCCCAGTAGCTGGAGAACAGCGAGATTCACTGGAAAAGCATATGCCAGACCCAGTGGCCGCAACACATGTAGACATGGAAGAGCTAAAGTTGACCCTGTGTGAAGTTCTTGATTTTATTCATGTTGTGATCTACTGCACCAGTTAGAAACTGCACCCAGCCTTCCTCTGATGGTGGACACACATGGCTTGTCCTGCAAAAGTGGAGGAAATTCATTAGGAAAGCCTTCTGGGTGTCATACCTACGCATCCAGACAACACATGGGTATTGTGAAGTGCTGAATGACCACAGCATTAAAACAGAACTCCTATGGCCCCAGAGTGCTTTGAGCAAGGAAGAACCCACATCCATGTCTCTAGTCCCAAACTTTAACACATATGTGTGTGTCTTCAGTGGTAACCACTTTCATCCCTACCATCCTTTTCTTACTCCCATCCCTTTGTGACCAGATAACATCATAATTATTCCAAAACGCCAGCATTTACTGTCTAGAAATGAGTCATCTTTGACAGGAGGCAGAAAGATATCAACCTTCGTAGCAGGGAACACACACTTATAAAACTGTAACTCATACTCACTTTGTAATCTCTAAGACTTTCTTTAATACCGAGGCCAACTTAGCAGCCTAGAAAAAAACAAAAGGGAAATAAAGTGAGCCAAACATGGAAAAAAAGGGGCTCAGCAGTACTGGAAAAGAAAGCAGGGTG